GTGACTCTCATGAAAAAATTGCATGGTTTGAAAGTGTTTTATATGCATAGAAAGGTAAAATACATACTATATACTAAGACAAACATTTCACTAACTGACACTAAATAAGAATTGTATGTACCTGTTCCAACTAACCTTCAAATTTGACTTAAAGATAGACTTGGGAATGAATCTCTTCGTAACCTGGGCACTGCCTGTATGTTCCCTTAAGGCTATCCTTCTAAGCACAGTTTTAGCTGCAGCCTACATGGCTTGATATTTAGTATTTTCATTATCATTCAGTTAAAAATATTTTAAAATTTCTGTTAGGATTTCTTCATTGACCCATGGGTTACTTAGAAGTAAATTTTAAAATTTCAAATATATGGAGATTTTCTAGCTATCTTTTTGTGCTTGATGTCTGAGATGTCTGACTTCATTGCATTATGGACTTCGAACATACTCAGTGATTTCAGTTCTTTGACCTTTGCTAAGACTAGCTTTATGGCCTAGAATATAGTCAGTATTTGTATATGCTCCATGTATCCTTGGAAACAATGGTTTTTATAGTTGGTGAGTTCAGTGTTCTTTTATATATGTCAGTTAAATCAAGTTTATTTGTTAATGTGTTCAGATCTTCTATATCCTTATTAGTTTTTGTCTTCTCTATCGAGAAAGGTGTGTTTAAATGTACTATGATTGTGGATATGTCTGATTTTACTTGTAGTTCTGTTAATTTTGCTTAATATATTTTGAACCTGTGTTTTTAAGTGAAAACAAATTTAGAAATATTTTACATTTTTGTCTTTTTAAATTTTATGTCATTATAAAATGTTTCCTTTTATCTCTAATCATGCATTTTGCCTCTGATATTTTAATCTCAGACAGCTTGCTTATGGTTAGTTTTTGCATAGGGTATATATATTTTCCATCTTTTCACTTCAACCTTTCTATATCCTTGTATTTAAGGCGTATCTTGTAAGCAGCATATGGTTGAGTTTTATGTGTTCTTTTAGTCTGAGAGTTTTTGTCTTTGAATGGGAACGTTTAGTTTGCTTGCATTTAACGTAATTAGTGATATATTTGGGTCTTAATCTCCCAGCCTACTATTTGATTTTTATTTGTCCTACCTGTTTTGTGTTCCTGTTTCTCTCCTTTTGGATTGATTGTTTTTTACTATTCCTTTTTTCCTTTACATTAGGGAAAATATAGTTATTTGCATGCTTTCTAATTATTATTTTAGTGTTTACCCTAGATAGTACTACATGCATTTTTGACTTATCAAAGGCTGACTTAAATTTCTAATTTTACCTCTTTCTGTACCTTTGCAAAGAGCTTAGAACACTTTAGCTCCAATCATCCTCCTTTTATGCTATTTCTGTTGGGTATTTTACTTCTACATGTATTTCGAATCCTGTAAGACATTATGATTATTGTTTTTAAAGTCAACATTTATTTAAATACACCTACAAATTTATCCTTTTCATGGATGTTTATACCCACATCTCTAGGCTTCCATGTGGGCTCATCTTCCTTCTGCCTTTACTTCACATTTATTCTTCATGTGGGTATAGAAGTCTCAGTTGGCAGTTATTTTCTTTTTGTGCTTTGATGATAACATTCCATTGTCTCCTGGCTTCTGTTACTCCTGATGAGAAGTTTGCTGTCTAGATCCCCTGTTGGGCTTTTCTGTCAGCTCTTATTTGTCTTTGTTTTGTGTTATGACTCTGTTTTCTCCTCTGACCATTATTTTTGATTAGAGACTGAACATTATATATAAAGAATATATAAGAACTAATTTGAACCTAGTATCATAATGCCCATTGCCATCAAGTTGATTCCAACTCACAGTGACCCAGTAGGACAGAGTAGAACTGCTCTATAGGGTTTCCAAGGAGCGGCTGGTGGATTCGAACTGCCGACCTTTTGGTTAGCAGCTGAGCTCTTAACCACTGAGCCACAGCGCTCCAGTATGATAATATCTTCCTCTAAATAGTATTTTATTTGCTTCTGGCTTTTAATTACATATACTAGCAATCCTGGATTACTTTAACTCAACATTGAGTTCATTTAAATTGTTTTTTAGTCTGAGACTGTTTTTTCAGCCCTGTGATGACTGGTCTGTTTGCAGCTCACCTTAACTCTTAGGGTGCAGTCCTTTGGTGTTCTGACCCAAAGTGTGAGGTTTTCAAAGTTTCCTTCTTGTTGGGATCTGTACTCCAGTCTTCTCTCCTATCTCTGCAAGACTGTCAAGAGCTCTGCTCAGTTTCTCAGCTGCCTCTTTCAGAGTTGGTAGAGGCTGTTGAAGGAAAGCTCCCCCAGATTATGGGCTTTACTTCTCTTGTTTTCTTTCTTCTCCTGGACATTGACTCCTTCTTAGTACATTAATGCTGTCATGCAGTTTTTTTGTTTGTTTTAAAATACTTGGTCACATTACCTGCATTACCAGATGTGAAAGTCCTCCTTATTTTTTTTTTTTTAATCCACTAATTTTTTTTCCAATGTGTAGGTGTATTCAAAAAGTGGATATTCAGTATTTTTTCAATATAGAACTTTAGTTAATTAAAAAACCTGACTTTTGATGCATTCTTTTTCTTGATTTTATGTTACTCTGCCCAGAGAAAAATGCCATCTAAACCTTCCCTTTCTATTCAAATTTGTTTTTATTTAAACTGTCTATTTCTTACCAAAAAATGGCACTAGTAGGTAGGGGTTCTCAACTCAAAATTGAGTTTTTAAAATATATTGGTAGTAGGGATGTTTAAGGAGCCCTGATGGCACAGTAGTTAAATGCTCAACTGCTAACTGAAAGGTCGGTGGTTTTAATCCCCTAGCCACTCTGTGGGAGAAAGATGTAAAGATTACAGCCTTGCAAACCCTGTGGGGCAGTTCTACCCTGTCTTAAAGGGTCACTGTGAGTCAGAATCGACTCTATAGCACACAATAACAACAGCAAGCAAAAAACCCAAACCAAACCCGTTTGCCATTGAGTCGATTTCGACTCATAGCAACTCCATAGGACAGAGTAGAACTGCCCCATAGGGTTTCCAAGGAGTTGAGTCGATTCTGATTCATAGCGACTCCATAGGACAGAGTAGAACTGCCCCATAAGGTTTCCAAGGAGTGCCTGGTGGATTTGAACTGCCAACCTTAGCTCTTAACCACTACACCACCAGGTTTCCAAAATAGCAACAACAGGGGTGTTTAATTTGAATTATTTTGAACAAGTAGATATCAATAATCAGAAGTTCTGAGCTCTGGCAGTACTTGAATACACAGTGCTGAAACATCCTATCAGACACTAATTCCAGTGTAGATCATTGAAATCTTTGATCAGAATAAACATATTCAGAATAATTATGTAGTCACTGTAGATATCATGAAAGACTAAACAGGATAAACTTGGGTTGGGTTTAAAGTCCTAATGTGTAGTAACTTTTGATTTTTCTTATTTTAGTTATGTGAAGTGTTCAAGCTTAAACCACTTCTCGGTACACATGCTGTGTCGGGGGGTCCCCAAGGCCACTTCCATGTTTGGAGGTGACTGAGCATGTAATTGTACTCACAGCTAAGATTTATTACAGCAATGTTAAAAGAACACACAGCTGGATCATTAGAGGAAAAGGCACAGGTGTGGTGTGGTGTGGTCTGGAGGAACCCACTTGCAGGATTCCTTATGCTCTCTCCCTCCCATAAGAGGTCACACAGAACACGCTCTTCCCCCAGCAACAAAAATGTGTGTGTGCAGTCTGTCTGCCCAGGAACTCAGTGGCCAAGGTTTTTATTTGAGGCTAGTCACGGAGACACCCTCTGCCTAATACATACCTAAAATTCCAGACTCCTGTAAGGAAAGTAGGTATTCAGCATAAACTACATTGTTTCTGCATACAGTTCAGGCACAGTGAGCCACCCTTCTATCATTTAGGGAAAGTTTTATATCAGTAAAGGAACTGTTTACCAGATGAGTTCTCAGATGCTAGCCAAGGGCCACCTTATAAGCAAGTCTTTCTAGGGATAGCAGTCTCAGCCTGCTGTGTTAACTCTTTTCTTCACACATGTCTACAATGACCATTGAAATACTCTGAAAACATTGTATATGTAAATATCAAAGGACTGCACGATCATTTCTGTTTTGATAATTAGCAAAATGTTTATCATTAAACTTAGGTAGCTAAAATACCTGGGCAGTTATGATGTCTTAGTATGTTTTATACAGACTTTTACTAATTTGCCAGTCGCTGTTGTCAATTTTAATCCATGTGTGGGAAGAACAGGACAGTGTTAGAACATTTAGTACATCTAAAAAGAATGTTTTAAAAATTAAATTACAATGGGAAATTATCCATTATGAAAGGACACTTCAGATGTCGACTTTTAAAGTTCATATCGAACCACCCACATATTTTTAGATTTCAGTGGGCTTGTTTTTCTTATGGAGCTTTTTGGGGAAGATACTTTATTACTGAGAATTTTGGCTAAAATAACTGGCATTCACTTAGCAATAAGAAATATTGAAAAAAAAATTTCTGACTACTATTAGAATCAAATGATAGGATTTTGTATATTATAGACTAGATTCCTCGTTTATAAATGTGGAAGCTGACCCAGAAAGCTAAGTTACTGTCAGCAAAATTGTGAATAGCTGGTTAATTTCATTTAATCAGTTTTTAGTTATAGAGTATACAGTTCTTCAATTCAAAGCTCTAATGACAAATATGGGTTTGTCATAGATTAATTTTGAGTTTGATCTGGTGATTTTGGATACCTTTTGATGTCTAATTTGGTCATTTCATTCATTCAACAAGTATAACAAGTTATTTCCTTAACCTCTGCCACGTGTCAGATACTAGCTTTAGGTGCTGGGTATAAATTTCTCTCATTTGTAATCAGATTAAAGTATGTCCCACTTACAGGTGGCTTGGAGCTGCCTGCTTTTCTTTAGATTCTAAAGTACATACATTCATTACATTATATCCTAGTCTCTCAAAACAGATTACTTCTTTTCTTTCCCCCTCCTTCAGGCAATACTGCATTGCATGATTGCGCAGAATCTGGAAGTTTGGACATCATGAAGATGCTTCTAATGTATTGTGCCAAGATGGAAAAAGATGGCTATGGAATGACTCCTCTTCTCTCAGCAAGTGTGACTGGTCACACAAATATTGTGGATTTTCTGACACACCATGCACAGACCAGCAAGACAGAACGTATCAATGCTCTAGAGCTTTTGGGAGCTACGTTTGTAGACAAAAAAAGAGATCTACTTGGGGCTTTGAAATACTGGAAAAAAGCAATGAACATGAGGTACAGTGATAGGACTAATATAATCAGCAAACCAGTACCACAAACATTAATAATGGCTTATGATTATGCCAAGGAGGTAAACAGTGCAGAAGAACTTGAAGGTCTTATTGCTGATCCTGATGAGATGAGAATGCAAGCACTGTTAATTAGAGAACGTATTCTTGGTCCTTCTCACCCTGATACCTCTTACTATATTAGATATAGAGGCGCTGTCTATGCAGACTCTGGAAATTTCAAAAGATGCATCAACCTGTGGAAATATGCTTTGGATATGCAGCAGAACAATTTGGACCCTTTAAGTCCAATGACCGCCAGCAGCTTATTGTCTTTTGCAGAACTGTTCTCTTTTATGCTACAGGATAGGGCTAAAGGCCTGCTGGGCACTACTGTTACATTTGATGATCTTATGGGCATACTGTGCAAAAGCGTCCTTGAAATAGAGCGAGCTATCAAACAAACTCAGTGTCCAGCTGACCCATTACAGTTAAATAAGGCTCTTTCCATCATTTTGCATTTGATTTGCTTGTTAGAAAAAGTTCCTTGTACTCTAGAACAGGACCATCTCAAAAAGCAGACTATCTACAGGTTTCTTAAGCTGCATCCGAGGGGAAAGAATAACTTCAGCCCTCTTCATCTGGCTGTGGACAGGAATACTACATGTGTAGGGCGGTACCCTGTGTGTAAATTTCCATCTCTGCAAGTTACTGCCATACTGATAGAATGTGGTGCTGATGTGAACGTCAGAGACTCCGATGACAATGGTCCCCTACATATTGCCGCTCTGAACAACCATCCAGACATCATGAATCTTCTTATTAAATCAGGTGCACATTTTGATGCCACAAACTTGCACAAACAAACTGCTAGTGACTTGTTGGATGAGAAGGAAATAGCTAAAAATTTGATCCAGCCCATAAATCATACCACGTTGCAGTGTCTTGCCGCTCGTGTCATAGTGAATCATAGAATATATTATAAAGGGCATATCCCAGAAAAGCTAGAGACCTTTGTTTCACTTCATAGATGATAACTTGACTGTGTTTTAGCACTGTTAAAGCACGAATTGGTAACAGTTGTTTCATAAATGAGCACTGTTGTGATAACACCAGCATTCATTTAGCTTGATTTCATCGTGCTGTCATTGGCTAAAGCATTATAAGCATCAGATTTACAGGATTGGTTTCCCAGTATTTAATATAAATATACCATATAATATATTGTTTGTGAATTATTGAGAAATGTAATGTCATATTCAAATTTCTAAAATTGTTTGCCAAAGGCTTACTATCCATTCTGGTTTTGTTTGCTGTTGGGTGTTTGGGATTGAGTTAACTGTTTTTCACTGATGTCTTTATACTTTTCTGGTTTGTGAATTTTATACAATTGAAGATCTTTTTTTCCCCTGCTTCCTTCTCCAAGCTTTGCTCCTGTTTCCACTTTATTTTTGCTTAATCATTTCTACATATCAGTTTTTTCTCCTTATGGACCCTTGCTAGGTGATACGAACTTTATAAACTTGTTACCATTTGCAGTTACCATAAGTGCTTTATCTTCTCTATGCACCGGCTTAAACTTGACTGTTGTATGTTTGCATATTTTCTATGCAGCAGTTGGTCAACTTCAACTCAAAACACTTTTTTAGGTTTGTTACAAAGCTCATTTTATGAAAGTACTCTCTGTAGCATGACAGTTTTTAGAGCTACAGGTTAGCTGTCTGAACTCATGCTTTTTTTTTTTCCCTTCACATCTGAGGTTTCTTTCTCTAAGCTACTGAAATTGTTGTGTGCTAAATTTGGGAAACAAATCTATTCTAACTCATTAACCCAGTTGAAATTTAGGTCTGTCATCTTAATATATCATTCAGTAAAAGGAAGAGTCTTTATAAAGTGACCCACCTTTCATGCTGCTTCAGCGTTGTCCTGCTTGTGCTGATGGTGTGATTAGGTGTAAAGAATTTGCTTAAATTTAACCTCAGAGTTTATCACACAGCATAATGAGTCACATTCAAATATTCAGTAACAAAACTACAAATCACTTTTAGTTACAAAAAGAGCTAAAGCATGTCAGTGGCATGATGCTTGCCAAGCCTGACTTAGGCATCTAGGATAATTAAAATATTTTAGTATGCAATTTACTGCCATAGTATCAAAGGTCAGTAACAGTGTTCTTTCTTTCTTCAAGCTTAAGTCTACCTTTAAAAATAACTTGCATGAATTACTTTGGTCTCAATTATTTGTCACCATAGTTAAACACACAAGGTTGCAGTGCTTCCTATTCCCTTACTGAAAGTTAGCATTTTTATTTTTCGTTTTATTTTTTTAACAGCTTTGCTAATGCCACAGAAAGGGCTCTTTTAACTTAAGAAAAGATAAGTGAAAAGTACTAAAAAAGATTCAGGTAATTCTCATTCAGCACTTTATTGTTATTCAGAATAAAATTTTTGATGGCATATTTACCTTGCAGATGTCTTAATGAAATTATTCTGAATAAAAAGCTTCTTATTGATTTAAGAAAAATTCAGTTTACCTGTGAGTTTAATGAGCTGGATCACTCACTTGGGTTTTTGTGTTGACATTTTATTCTGAGGGTTGATGTAATGGTATTTAAGTAGTCATCATTGCAAATAGTCACATTAGATTTACCTTCATTTTTATTCAATAAAAAAACTTGTGATGAAGAGTAGTAGATAAATAAAAGAACAGACTTTGTGGTTAAACAATTGAGGTTTAATTTTTTAAAAAGCTATCCTTACCCATTTTACTAGGTTGTAAATTTAATTTCACCGTTGAAAATGGTGGATTGGATATAAATGGGTACTCTCCAACCTCTTAATGAAGAGATTTTAATATCTCTTATTTACCATGGGCAAATTTAATTAAATATTTGAGTTGCCACATATATTAAGAATAGTTTATGATTTAGGTGGATATTCTAGAAATCAAACATCAATATTTTGAAATCACCTGCCTCTAACCTGTGGTGCAGTGCACAACTACTTTTTTAGAAAGATACTTTACAAATACTGTAAATTTACATTAGTTGATCTCAATAATTTTTGGGTAAAAGATGAGCAGTTGGATTTTTACATGATCTAATATTTCCTCCTTTTTTGGGGAGGGAGAGGAGAGTTTACATGTTCTTATAGTAAGGTTCATCTCACACTGTTTTTACAGGTGAACTTGAATTGAGCAACTCTAGTATAAAATATGGATTTCTTTCAATAGTATTTTTCCACTATTAAAAATTGATAACTTATAACTGTTCTACAGTCTGGATAACTGAAATGCCTTATGTCAATTAGGATATAATTCTCACTTGTCTGTTTGCCATTTCCCCAAATACCATTGAGGTTCTTGAAAAATAAGTTAGATACAGCTCAAAATTGTCCATGAATGTACTTTAAAGGGGATTGGTTAATAAATGTGACCTCAGACACTGATAAGGCCTTCAGAAAGTATTCTCAAAATTATTGTGAGACTGAATAAAATATTTAAATTTATTTTTTAAACCACAGATGAGTAAATTTAATATTTACTGACGTAATTGTACTGATTTGAGTCAAAGTATATACTGTAGCATGGTGTTGACTGGAGTTAATGTGTAAGTTTTGAGTATGTGTCTACAAAAATGTCCTGTTGAGGCCTGCTGAATTTTATATATTCCACTATTGATCATTTTTGTAAAAAAAAAAAAAAAAAGTAATTTCAATTAGATTAGATTCCAGTCTGCTTTATAAAGATAAGTGAATTATAGTTTAAAAATAGTCATTTTCTTGTCCATAAATCTGACAGGGATGTAAGCCCAAATCAGCAAAAGATAATTTAGTACCCTTCACGATTTTGAAGTTAAGCATTTGCGCACTAGTAAAGTGATACTTTAATGTGTGATATTTTAGAGACCCCATTTACTGTGATTTGGGAAAATTGTTTAAATTATATTTGAGAAATAGTTCTTTAAAATCATATGCGCAGAAGAAACCTTAGGCCGAATTTACGGGTATAATCCTTGTAATTTATTTTCTCAGACTTGTGCGGGCCAGATGAGATAATAACCTTATTCTTGTTCACTGTAACAGCAGCATTATTGCTTGGAACTTTAACCATTCTAGAGTAAGGAAACTAAAATTAATTGGTCATCATCTTTTGTTTTTTGTTTTTGTTTTTACCCATATATATCACTAAACAGTTTCTCTCCCTTTTGTCAGTTCCCATTGTGTATCTTTCAGAAGAAGTACTGTATTCAGATGCTAGCCAATGAATTGCCACACAATGGAAAATACGCCACAACATTATAAGGTTTAATAAAATTAAATTTGCACCAAACGTAAGTGTATTCTTATTAACTCTTGACACTTGATTGGTGTTATCTTAATGCATATGATAGTGGACTCCCGGACTCCTATTTCAAAAAACACCTAATTGGTAAATTATGGCCAGTTAGAACTTAGAGATAGTATTTGTTATTAATACTTTTGTGTAAAAAACAAAGATGATTTATGGACAGTTCATTCTAAATTTTCTTCAGTAAAGAACAAAAAACTGGTAAAAATATGGAAAAATTTTGTTATATGCATAGGAGGCTGCTTTTAACTGTTCTTATTTTTTAACTGATGTTAAGTATCAGACGTATATCAGAAATACATAACTCTGATAGTAAGTTTTATAAATTTATTTCCATTACTTTTAAATTGTGAAAACTAAGTAGTCTTGGGTAGTGGAGCAAGATGGCAAAGTGAGTGGACTGTCCCATTTTCTCCCCCCACAACTAACCCACTGAACAACAAAAGTAAGCGGACCAAGATCTCAGAACTCTGGATGGAACCTGAGGTGTTGGAGAGTCGGGGTGAGTCCAGAAGCAGGAGAGAGAAGTGGGGATGGCACAGAAGCTGGGAGAACCTACCTGCTAACATCTGGAGCACTTGCTCATTGCAGCCATTTTGGGATGGGGCTGGGCAGTACCACAAATGGAACACAGAGCTAAATGAGGAAGCTGTAACCTGATAATTTAAGGCAACATAGATTGGCTGTGCAATTAGGAGGGGTTGGAGGGAGACTGTGGCACTGCAAAAGAGTGCTGTTGAATCTCACTGAGGCCTGAGACAGGCACTAGTAGTGGGAGAAACAGCAAAGGGAATGCATCTGATGGGCAACACAGAAGGAAATGGCTGGCTCCCTGGCCACAGTGGGACACTGTGGGAGAGCCTGTACAGGGATGCCTGTGAGGGAGAAACAGCTCCCCACCTTCACCCCTGGAAAGCTGAGCACCACTCCTATGTCAGCGCCTGCAACCAGCTAAAACCACCCCACACATGCATATTGAAATCCAGAAATCATCCAGAACACCTGAATCAGCACTGAAAAAAACCTAAGGATAAGATTGCCTTGTAGGTTCTTAGGAAAATATACCAAGCCCGCTGCCATCGGGTTGATTCTGACTCATAGTGACCCTGCGGGGTGGAATGGAGCTGCCCTGTAGGGTTCCCAGGACCATGAGTCTTTGTGAAGACACACTGCTGCATCTTTCTCCTGCAGAGCGGCTGGTGGGTTTGGGCTGCCAGCTTTTCAATTGGCAGTCAGGCACTTGGCTGCTGTGCAACCAGGGCACCCAATCAGAAAATTTTCCCATGAAAACCAGAAAACAATTTAAAGTTTTTTTTTTTTTTGTGTGTGTGTATATATATGTAGTGGCCCAAGTTCAACAAAAAATAATAAAACTCACAAAATCACAGAAGAACGATCAATCAAAAGCAAAACAGAGGTGGAAATTTCTACTTTAGAAGCAAGACTAACAGAAAAAATTGAAAATTTTCAGACAGTGGTGTAAATATGTCTAAAAAAAGCAAAAAGCACAGAAAACAAACTAGCAGAGATTAGGAAACAAATGGAAGAACAAAAATGAGAGACTCAACAAGGAAATTGAAAACATTTAAAAAAAAAACAAAACCAAAGAGAACTACTGGAACTGAAGAATAAAGCAACTGAATTAGAAAAAGCAAGAGAAACACTCTACAGGTGAACAGACAGAAAGTAGAATAAATGAACTAGAAGACAAAATAACTGAACTTACCAAGACTTGAGAAAAGAACAAAGAAAAGCAAACAAACCCAAATGGAAATATGGGATTCAATTAAGAAATATAACATTAGAATTATTGGAATCCCAGAGTACCATTATAGCAATAAAAGCATGGAAAGAATTTTCCAAGAGATAGAGATAATTTCCCAGACCTGAACAGAGAACTAATCCTGCAAATACAAGAAGCTACAAAAATCCCAATTAGAAGAAACACAAAAACGTCAATTCCACAACATCCTAATAAAATTTTTGAAAACCAAAGACAAGGAGAGAATTCTGAAAACAGCAAGAGAAAGATGCAATATAACACACCGAGGGTCTTTCGTAAGAATCAGTGCAGACTTCTCCCCAGACACTCTAGAAGCCAAGAGATAATGGAGTGACATATATAAAATACTGAAGGAAAACAACTGCCAACCAAGAATTCTTTACCCAGCAAAGCTGTCATTCAAAAACGAGGTGGAAATGAAAACATTCCCAAAGAAACAAGCTCTGGGAATTTGCCAATACCGGACCAGCTTTGCAAGTATTAATCAAGGGAGTACTCTAGATGGAAAGACAAAACATTAAATAAATAACTTGTATCTATACATGGGCACGGGGGGAGAGGGAGATAAAAAATAAGAATGAGAAAGAGGTCTCCAAAAAACACAACAAAATGGGCAATCATGACCAAGCATATGATATTTTCAGGATATAAACTCAATAATTACATCTTGCAAACAATACAACATCAAGTTAATAAGAAATAAATACAAAGTAAACTTATCAAATATACATTGTATACTGATGTTAATGGAGACACATCAACAGAAATGGGGGATGGAGAAGCTTATCAGGAATGGATTTAATATGTTAAGGCTGTATGTTAACTGTTGTTCATAAGCTAAATGCTGCAGTTATCAGTTGTGAAACATACTATATGTGGACCACTAAGAAATCACCAAGCAAAAATACTCAGAAGAAGGAAGAAAGCAAAAAGGCTCATCACAAGAAAGCAGCCAAACACAATCAGAATAAAAAAATAATGAAGATACGAACACTCAAAACACAAATAGCAAAATGAGTGAGGTAGACACTTCGTTTTCAGTAATAACCTAAAATGTAAATGATCTAAACACCCCATGCAAAAGGCAGAGAGTGGCAGAACGGATAAAAAAAATTTTGCTGTCTGCAAGAAACACACCTTAGACATAAGGACACACACACTGAAGATAAAAGGATATATCCTAGGGACCTAAAAATAATGACATAAAAGGACAAATGTACATCTATGTTCATTGCTGCTTTATTCACAATAGCAAGTAAATGGAAACAACCAAAGTGCCCCCAAGCATCTGTCAGTTTGTCATACTGTGGGGGCTTGTGTGTTGCTGTGATGCTGGAAGCTATGCCACTGGTATTCAAATACCAGCAGGGTCACCCATGGTGGACAAGTTTCAGCTGAGCTTCCAGACTAAGACTAGGAAGAAGGACCTGGCAGTCTACTTCTGAAAAGAATTAGCCAGTGAAAACCTTATGAATAGCAGTGGAACATTGTCTGACATAGTGCCGGAAGATGAGCCCCTCAGGTTGGAAGGCACTCAAAACACGACTGGGGAAGAGCTGCCTCCTTAGAGTCAATCTTAATGACGTGGATGGAGCCAAGCTTTCGGAACCTTCATTTACTGATGGGGCACGACTCAAAATGAGAAGAAACAGCTGCAAACATCCATTAATAATCTGAATGCGGAACATACGAAGTATGAATCAAGGAAAACTGGAGACCATAAAAAATGAAATGGAACACATAAATATTGATATCCTAGGCATCAGTAAGCTAAAATGGACTGGTATTGGCCATTTTGAATCAGACAATCATATGGTCTACTATGCTAGGAATGACAAATTGAAGAGGAATGGTATTGCATTCATCATCAAAAAGAACATTTCAAGATCTATCCTGAAGTATAATACAGTCAGTGATAGGATAATATCCATACACCTACAAGAAGACCAACTACTAAGGCCAAAGATGAAGAAATTGAAGATTTTACCAACTTCTGCAGTCTGAAATTGATCAAACATGCAGTCAGGATGCGTTGGTAATTACTGGTGATTGGAATCAAAAGTTGGAAACGAAGAAGGATCAGTAGTTGGAAAATATGGCCTTGGTGATAGAAACTATGCTGGAGATCACATGATAGAATTTTGCAAGACCAATAAATTCTTCATTGCAAATACCTTTTTTCAACAATATAAACAGCGACTATACAGGTGGACCTCAGTGGAAGGAATACACGGAATCAAATTTACTACATCTGTGGAAAGAGTTGATGGAACAACAGTCCGAACAAGGCCAGAGGCTGACTGCAGAACAGACCATCAATTTCTCATATGCAAATTCAAGCTGAAGCTGAAGAAAATTAGAACAAATACAAGAGAACCAAAGTACGACCTTGAGTATACCCCACCTGAATTTAGAGACCATCTCAAGAATAGATTCGACACGTTAAACACTAATGACTGAAGACCAGACGAGTTATGGAATGACATCAAGGACATAATACACGAAGAAAGCAAGAGATGAGAGGTGGGAGGCGGGGCCAAGATGGTGGAGTAGTCAGACAATTCAGGTGGACCCTCTTACAATAAAGACCCAAAAA